ATAAATAGACTCAGCAGGTTTTGACTGTGTCCAGTGCTGTAAAAGTATTCAGTCTTGTCGAGCGTGGCAGGAACGGAGCCTCATCACATGAACTAACTTTACAGCCAGCCATGCAAAGCTCAGCTGAAATAAAAAGTTTTGATTGCACAGCTTTGCTTCTAAAAGGTGTGTCGGATATCACAAACTGCATTTCAGTTTGTCCAAATGTTACTTTTGATTGTCCTTCCATCATGGTCTGTTTATTTGTTCCTGTGGATCTGTGCCCCTGCTGTCTGTCAGGCCGTTAGCCCCGCCTACGCTCACCTGGTTCCTCCTGTGTCTCCTCCAGGTGTTTCTCATTAGTTTGCCTTTATAGTCTCCGTCCTGTCCTCAGTGTTTGTCTGATCATTGTGTTGTTTTCACCAGCCAGTGCGGTTGTCTATATGGTGCCTTTCATGTTTTTCTTTAGAAGTTCCACCAGTGAGTGTTTTTTTTTTTTTGCCTCATCAGCCTTCCTCTGTTGAATAAAACCTTTTTTTTTTTTACTCTGAATTATTGCCTGCGCCCTGGATCATCTGCTGCACAACCTTCTACTCTGTCAGAAACAACAATGTGATAATGTGGTTTATTTCTTTGTGCACTTCTTTTAGTTTAACGCATGAAGACTGAAACCCAGCATGAAATTCTGAATACCACAGATTCAAAACTCTTTTTTTCTGCATTGCTTTTTATGTAGCACTAGAGTGTTGGTTTTTATTCCCCACTTCATAAATCATAGCTAATCAAAAATATCTCACYATTCAACCTGTCATGTTGTGATTGAAGCTCCGAGGCCTGGGAGTTTGAGGGTTCTGCGCAGGACCTTAGCTGTTCTTAGGGGTCACAGGGTACCCTGGCACTGCTCAGACCTTGACTCCCCACAGTGTCTCTGTTTCCTCTTTCAGTCCTGGATATGCCTTTAGCTGTTTCCATGATTCAACACACCTGCTTCAAATAATCCAATTACCCACTCAGAATGTCATCAAGCTTAGCAGAAGCCTGTCAGTCACTCATCAATCAATCATTTCAGAAAAACATGCAGGAGAATGTSTCTCTCTCCAGTCCATCCCTTTGAGCCACTGACAGGATATCAGTTGTAAATGTTATTCTTAGTCAGGATTGACTAGCCAAACTAAGGAGATTAATGCAAACTGCTACCTAATGGAGATTACAGACATCAGACTTTCTCCTCACYTCAACCAGACAGGTCCAGTTCATGACGCTGCACCTCACCCTGTAACGTTTGGAAGGAGTTTAATAGTCTTTTTTTTTTCGAATGTGGTGGGTTTTCTAAAATAATGGACACAAAAATGAAACAGTCAGTTGTCTTTTGTGGTGATTTATTATAAAAAACATAAGCAATAGAAACTAAAGAAAGAAACAAGTGCTGCAGACTCCAGTGTGTCTGCAGGAGTTGTGGCAGTGATTAAAAAAAATACATGAAGTAGATTTGCTCAGGTTTGCTCGATTAGATAGACGCAAACAAGTACAGTTTTATCATTTTATAATATTAACTGTCAGCAAAGATTCTTTAATCACGTTTTCTTCTGATAACTTATTCCTGTGTTTGCATTCACTGTTCTGTCATGTCTCAAATAACCAAAGTTAAATATGACAAATAAAAGCCCAGAGGAAGAAAATGTTCAGTGATAAGTTAAAGCATTTCCGAGCTAAAACATGTGAGGACTTTGCTGCAGARCTGGTGCAGACGGGGTCAAGTTCTTCCTCATGTCTTCATAAACGCACTCTTTAGACACTTCTTGTCTGGCACTTCTTCTTCGACTGCACCGTCGTTTCACCTGTTGACAATGACGTATCGGTCATTTTTCTTTAAACGAGTAGTGTTAGAGTTGATTTCAGAAATCAATGAAGATACATTTAAATATGCAAAATGATTCACCCCTCTTAGTATAATTTCTATTTARTTGTTTGAAACTCATTTATCCCAGTTTCTGCCAGAGAAAACCCTCCTCGCAGCATGATGCTGCCACCGCCAAGTGTTGCTTTGTCCTAAATGACCAAGAACTTTGTGACAAATTCCAAATCGTCCACCTTGTTTTKTTTTTTTTTCCTTTACCGTCTTTTGTCTGGCCCAGTTTCTGCACAGCTTTTTGCAGGGACAACCACTGCCATTCAGTGCCATCTTCAGCCTCTTGGTGCTTTCTTTGATTTACAGTTAACCACAAACTCAAAAGAGACAACAGCCGGAAAAATACACGAGCGGCTGAACGTCTGCAGACGCCGCAGCACCATTTAAATAGGACACTGACTGGTTCAGATCTTATCAGTCAGGGGGTGTTTACAGATGTTACGTGGTTTAAGAGAAACGAGCTCACGGTGGTGTTATCTGCAAGTGATCGCTGCTACTGTCTGAGGCATGCAGAGACTACATAGACGTACTCACCCTCGGTATGACCAGTAAAAAGAAAATCCATATTATCAGCAAGCAGATGGTGCAGAGGAATATCATATATATCATCATGGATGGGATTGTTTCAGTGGGGGGAGCTGGGCTGGAACAGGGTGTCATTTCTGTGAGCGATAGAGACAAAAACATGTTAGAGATGGGCAGATTTCAATAAATTCTGGTGCATTTTTAATGTTAGAAACAAATATACAAACAAATATAAATACTTATTTTTACTTATTTTGTGTTTTTGTAATAATTATGGGGAAAATATTACATCAGCAATTATTTTATTACCCTTTAAATTGATTTCTGGAGATTATCCAAGGTGCTTCATGACCCATTATTGGGTCCCAAGCCCAACTTTGGGAACCAAAGTGCAGTGGTTCCCAAACTTTTCAGCTTTTGACCCACAAAATAACAGCAGCAGAGACCTGTGCCCCCATTTTTGGATGATAAACATTTGTATCAGGTCAACTAAACATGGGCATAGTAACAATATTTTATACTACATTTATCCATTTTAAATACACTAACCTCACTCCTTTGTAACAACTAAGGCAAAAATGTAATTAATTCAGAAAATCTTGTCAGGACCCCACCTTGATGTTTCAGGACCCCACTTTGGGTCCCGACCCCAACTTTKGGAAACACTGCTTTAGATGCTAGTTCATCCTTTGCTTCAACAAATGCAAATATTGTTCTCCATTTAATGTTTTGTTTGGTTTTAAGAAAGGTTCTGAATCCTTCTCTAAGTTCTGAGTAAAAAAAATTACTGTTTATTAAAATCTATGAAACAACACATAAAACCTGGAGAGTGATGTCATGAACATATATTTGATCCTGACTTCAAGGTTTGGGTTTTATTTTAGCCACTCTGACATGATTTAAAATTGGGCTTCATTTCCTGTGCCTGTAAATAATTACATTTACCTAATCCCATGTTTAAACGTGGGCTTYGTTCAGCAATCAAACTTTATATTTACTGACAGCAAAACAAAACCCGTCGCAATATTCTGACTGCAACACAAACAGAAACCTGGACGTGCATTAACTAACGGGACAAACATCAGATGTGTAGAGACTGATCAGTATCATCTCCAAAGGGAAAGCTGTCAGCCGTTTATTACCTGATGAGCCTCGAAATACTATGTTTTAATGAAGAAAACATACATGTTGGTTTAACAGGTTTGTTGGATTAAACATGTTCATTTCTTCAATGAAACTGCAGCTCGTCACACGTAACGCAGCTTCACATCACTGTGTGTTTATAATGAAGTTGAATCTTTCAAGACAAAAAAAAAACCACACACCTGTTATAAAAACTGCGTAGACATTGCAGTTGACAGCGCTGCCGTCTAATTTTTTGTAGACACATTTGTAGAGGCCGGAGTCGTTCTTGGTCAGGTTGCTGATGGTGAAGATGAAATTTGATTGGTGTTTCTGGATCCTGCCGATGTACCCCGATYGTGGTGCAATTTGCTGATTTGGGGCAGTGCTGATGAAGACCACCTCTTCCTCCTTATTCAGTTTATGGTACAAATACAGCCCCTCATACTTTTTGGTGCTCTGTGGACATCCATCATCAGAACAGTCCAAAGTGATACTCTTACCAGGCTCTTCAGAAATGATAGYACTCTCTGCTGGTAAATAAACACTTATAGATTAGAAGGTCTGTCCTTTAAACACACTTTAAAACCACACAAATATTCTAACTTTAATCTAATTCTAACAACAACGGATCAAATTATCAGAAAAACGTTGAATCACTGATTGACGTAAATGAAGCTAAAAGATAATTCGAGACAAAACAGTAGATATTAAAATGTAACTGTTCTTACCTGACCAGGTGAAAAGACAAAACAACAGTAAGGAAAAGGAGTGCAGCCTCATCGTGAAGCGGTGAGCTCACAAACTTCACTCACTTCTTACGAGTCGTGCTTAAAACCCATCAACTCTGGTGCAGAGCAGAGCAACAACAGCACTTCCTGTTCAGATTGGTGTGTGATAATTATCTGCATCCTCTGGAAAAAAAAAACCCCAACTGCATTCAGTCATTTGCACTAATTTTAAAAAGTCAATTTGAGTAGATATCCAAAGAAATTATAAATATTTTAAAAGATAAACAGTAAAACAGGACCAAAGAAAACACCTGTTTCATACATGAACACGTTCAGACACTAAAATTTATAGGAAAATAAAACCAAACAAATAAGATGTTGTTTTGCCCCCCCCAAAAAATCAGTTTTTTTTAAATATGTCATTCAGAAATATGAGGTTAAAAAACACTCATCGTTTGTTTTATTTTATTCACTCTTTACATG